TTTTTAGAGAGAGTTTTGATGGATATATGAACTTAGGTTGCATATTTTTTTTCCTTCAGGACTTGGAATATTTCTCCCCACTCCCTTCTTGACTTAAGAGTTTGTGTTGATAAGTCTGCTGTTATTTTGATAGATTTCCCGTTATAGGTAACCTGCATCTTTTCTCTGGCTGCTTTTAATATTCTGTTTTTTTGGTGGATTTCTGGGATCTCGATTATTATATGCCTAGGCGTAGATCTGTTTTGGTTGTAGGTAGCTGGCGTTCTGTATGCTTCTTTTATCTGGATATTATTTCTTTTTGCTATACGTGGGAAATTTTGCTTTAATATCTCTGTGAATATTTTTTGTATTTCATTTTTGGATGTTCCTGCTTCCTCACTCACATTCTTTATTCTTAGGTTATGCATCTTTTTATCATCTTCCAGTTTTAGAATTGCTTCTTTCTGGTTCCTTGTTATTTTTAAGAGGCTTTTTCTTTCACGTTCATAAGCCCTAAATCTCTCTTCAAGTTTCAGAAGGTTGTCTTTAGTTTCTGTCAAGGCATTTTGCCAATATTCAATGGAGTTTTTAATTTCCTGATTTTCTCTTTGGATCTGTTTCATGTATTCTAAGTTATGCTTAAATTCTTCAGATGCTTCTCTTTCTTTTCTGATTTCCTCAGTTCTTCCATCTGTGTTCTCTTGGGCAGGGCTTGTCATTTCTTTAATTAATCTCTTTATATCTTGCCTCACTTGGATCAGGAGTACATCTTTAAATTCCTCTATGAGATCATGTAAATACTTTTTAATTTCGGCTGATGCTGAGTCGAGCAATGGATGGTTACTGTGCTTGTTCTCTTCAGTGTTTAGTTCTCTTGGGTTTAATTTCTCCTGTTGAACAGCTGGAGATTTTTTTTTATTTTTATCTCTTGTCATGTTTCTGGTTTCTTTCAGACTGTCCTGGAGTTCTCTGGCCCTCTCCGAATTGCTTAGGGCCTTTCAGAAGCGTGCCGGCTTGAGTTTTTGCTGTCCTCCCCAATTTGCTGTTATCTGGGGTAGGCTGGGATGCAGGGGCGGTACAGTCTAGTCTCTAGCCTCTGTGTCAGTTAGTTCATAAATTAGGCTGTACTTTCAGGTTGTCACTGAGTTGTGACCATTCTGCATCCGCCCATTGGGCCCCAAGCAGAGGCCTGATCTAGCCCCAACAGCTCCTGCCAGTTCTCCCTGAATCAGAAGCAGCTGGGTAATGGCACAGGATTCTGCCCAGGTCCCAGCCGTTCTCTTCCAAACCTCTCTGTGATAGGAGCTCTAGAAAAGCAGATCTGCCCAAAACCAAGATGGCTCCCACTAAGTTCTCCGTGCAGAGCTGAAGCCAGCAAGCAATCAGACTCTGCCAGGACTCAAGATGTCTTCCACCAGCCCTCCCTACAGGGGGTCCTGGTGATGTCACCAAGCTGCGATTTCTGCCGCCAGGCTAATATGTCTGCACCAGATTCTGTGTTATTGATTTCCCCGTGGTGGCGGGCCAGCTGTTCTCTGGCCAAACCCAGCCGCCGCGGGGTTTTCTATACTCACCAGAGTCCGGTGCAAGTCCCCGCTCCGGGACCGCCACACACCAAGCCGTCCACTTTTCCCCACCTCGCGGCTCAGCGCTGACTGGTCAGATTTCTGTGCACCGTTTAGATTCGAAACGCCAGAGCTCTGTACATCTGCTCTGGTGCAGCGGTGCAGAACTGGCTGCCGCCTGGAGTCTCGATCTGGGTCTCAGTTTCCGCAGTCCCCAAAAGCAACTCAGCTTTTCGTGTTGGGTCCACGAGTCTGTTCATTGATTTAAGGGCGCGGGATTTGCAGCCTCCGGTCTCAGCACGACTTTAAATCCTCCAGCTGTACTGTCTTGGTTGATAAGAATCGCTATGGATTTGTCTGGTCCTCTCCATGCTGTCTTTTTTTTTTTTTTTTTTTTTTTTAGCTTTGAGTTTGAATTCTCTGGAGAGATTCTTCGCTCGATCCCCTAGCACGCCGCCATTTTCTCTCCTCTGGCAAGTCTCCAGAGGGGTTTCATGCACATGAAGGAGGATGAGGCCATTTGAACACAAAGGCAGAGGCTGTGTGACGCAGCCAGCAGCCAAGGAGACAGCAGCTTGGACATCCTTGGAAAAGCCAGGGTTGGCCCCTGACCCCAAGGTCTCTGGTTGGGGTGCTGCCCATGGGGTACTTAGATTGGGACCTTGATTTCAGTCTTTTGCCATTCAGAACTGCAAGGAAGTAAGTATCTTTGTTTCAGACACTGGCTGCGTGGTAACTGCTTCCATTGGAGATGATGGGAGATGTTGTAGTCAGGGGTTGTGCAGAGAACAATTAGAATCAGGACATGGAGTTTATATTATTTTTATGATGGTCACCCAGAGTTGACACAAGAAAATGCAGGAAATCTATCCACAGCACTAAAAAGACATGGAATATTTAGCCAAGGGCCTGAATCCCACAGCAATGTCCTTCATGAGTCCAGATGAAAACCCAGAACTCATGACAATGCCTCCCATGAGTCCAACTGGAGATCCAGAGCCCACAAGAAGGATTCACACCAGTCTCCTTTATGGATCCATGCCAGGAAGGCCCAAAGGTCAGCAGTGAAAGCCAGAAAGTCTATGCCATCAGGGTGAAGGAGCTGTGCTGGTGGGATGAAGGTTCTGCACTGGAGCTGAGAAGTCACACTCACAACAAAGACCTGGACTGTCCTGAAAGGCATCACAGCCATCCTCCGCGACACGGAGGCCCCGAGTTCCTCCTCCAACAAGCACAGTCGAGTATGTGTCAAGAAGCCAGTGTGACGAGTTCATCCTGGAGACCAAGTGACACACGTCTTCCCCTCTGGAGCCAGGAAGCAATGCTCGATGCGAGGACCAGAGCTTCTCCAGGAGAACCAATGGCTCAGACAGCAACAATGCCACAATGCAATAATGCATTAACACCTTCCGTCTCCTTCTCCACCTCTTTATTTATGCTGGTAACTTTCCTCAGGTGGAGCATCTATGCTCCGTGCCATGCTGATGTAAACCAGCTGGTGTTAAGTGACTACCAGTTCTTAATCCATAACAGGAGAGGAATCATTAAGCAGCTGTGGAAACTGCAGAGATGAATCGAGAAACAACTGAGAATCCCCCAGTCCTCGTCACAAACAATATTTCATGTGGTTGCTTCTCATCTCCACTCCCTTCTCCCAGACCTCCCCAGCCTTTTCCCAGTTAGCTCTTTGCAGCCTTCCCCATCCATCCGGTAAAGCCTCTGTTGTCAGGAGGCCTACACCAAATACACCATCAGCTCAAAGTGGACGAAAAGCTCGAGTGTAAGACCTGAAGCCATGGGAATCACTGGGGGACAGGCAGGACCCCAGCTTCATGACAAGAGTGCCAGCTTGTGGGAGATGTGACCCCAAAAGCACAGGGAATAAAGCTAAAGTCTAGTTTAAAACCTCTGCACAGAAGAAAAAGTAACCGGTAAGGCAAAGAGGCCAGCACTGGAAAGGGAGAAAATATTCACAAAGCACACAATGATTGTGGGCTTAATATTCAAAGTACACCATGAACACAAAAATTTCAACTAAGTGTCTTAGTTACTTTTTACTTGTCACTGAGACAAAATATCTGAGGCCCAAAGTTGGGAAAGGAAAGGTTTATTTTTTACAGTTTTTGGAGGTTTCAGTCCATACTCAGTTGGCTCCAAGGCAGGGTGGCATGGCTGGGCCGCAGTTCATGGAGGCTGCAGACAGCAAGGTGGAAACCAGCAGGAGAGTGAGACACACCTTCTTCCACCCATTACATTGTATGCTGGCTTCAACCGCTAGGTGGGTGTAGCACTGACACCATCAATCCAAGCACTAGACAATGAGCCAATCACAAATGCACAATGAAAGTGCATGAGGCCTGAGAGCTACCACATAAACCATGACAGCAAGAAAATAAATATGTCAACTAAACCTTGGCAAAGACTTGAATGTAACGTTCTCAAGAGTGAATTTATATGGACAGCAGGTATATAATAAATATTCAACCTCATGCATCGTTAGGAAAATTGAAGTGAAAATACAATGAGATTTCATCTCACCCTTGTTGGGACAGCTATGATTCCAAAGAGAAAAGATATTCAAAGACAGTAGAGAGGTGATGCAAAAGGAACCCTTGTACACTCTGTGGGGATGTGAATCAGTATGGCCATTGCAGAAAACAGTAAGGAGATGTCTCAAAAAGAACTGAACTATCATGTGATCTAGCAATTCTGTTTTTGGAAAAACACCAGCAAAAAATGAAACCAGTATCTCAAAGAGACCTGCATTCCTGTATCCGTGATTATTGCCCCTTCCATCATGGCACACAATAGCTAAGTGTAGAATCAACTATGTGTCCTACGGGCAAGAAAAATTCCCATGCACACATCCACACGTGCACACGTGCGCGCACACACACACACACACACACACAGTGATTATGTATCTGTAGAAAAGGACATCCCAGTATTTGCAACAAAACAGAGAAACATGGAGGATGCTATGCTGTGTGAAGCAAGCCAGGCATAGAAACACAAATGCCATAATGTATCATTTTATTTTAAGTCAGAAAAGTTCAAACTCTGAACAGCAAGAGTGCAAAGGCGATAGCCAGAGGCAGGGTGATGGGAGGGTGTGGGGCGAGAGGTTGACCCAAGGGAGGGAAGCCTGCTGACTACAGTTAATTGTAATGTCCTGTGCATCTCAAAGTGGAATGAGATAAAATTTCAAATGTTGTCATCACACAGCAGTACAAAAAATAGAACTGGATGTAACGCAATCTTTTCGTGGCTGTGGGGAGTGTTATTTTAAAACATCAATAAATATGCAAGTTAATTCATATGCTACTTGGCCGGCTTTAAATTCTCAGTGCAAAGGCATTTTGAAATATTATAGTGTATACCATAATTATATGTCATTTCTATTGCTCAATAAAATAATAAGGTCCGGGGTGAATATTTATACCAAATTGCACCATATAACGTAAACACATAAAATTTTTATTTTTCAATTATACCTAGAGGAGTGGTAACTATTTCTTGAACATAGTCAAAGGTGATCCAGGTAAATTAGGATTAATAAACAAAAAAGCTGTTGTTACAAAGATCATCAGTGACAAGTTTCCCTTTTCCAACATGTGATCCCCTCTTTCTCACCCCTCCCTCGGGCTTCGCTTTACCCCAGCTATGCTCCATAACACTGCAGCCTGGACCCCCTTTCCCTGATTGAATCTGCTCCTCCATGGAACAGGACTCCAGCTCCCTGGGAGCTCAGAGAAATGTTCTTCCACCGGCCTCACTATCCTCTTTCCCTTACTGGCCACGTCCATGAAGAACCCCATTGGCCTCCACATGCATCAGACACATCCTCAACCCTCCTTCCCTCCCTGCCTCACGCTGTGGTGCCTCCTCTGGGAGCATCCATCTCCGCTTTCCTGGGGTGTGGTTTGGATCTTGAATGTTCCTCCAAAGACCCATGTGCTGAGAACTTGGTCCCCTCCCCATGGTGCTAGTGGAAGTTGGTGGAACTCTTAGGTGGCGGAGCCCACTGGGAACAGGTTAAAACTTTGAAAAGGTGGCCTCTTTGCTCTCCTTGCTTCCTGGATGTCATGATGTGTACACTCTTCCTCCACCATGGTCATCCATTGCCAGCACAGGGTCAAAGGTCATGGATGGAAACTTCCGGACACATCAGTCAAAATCAGTTTAGCAATTAGTCACTGGAGGAGGTGCTTTGCAGGGGACCCTGGGACTCCCATGCCTTCCTATCTCTTTCTGTCCTCAGCTGCCAAGAAGTGGGCTCACTTCAGCCATGCGATGCCACCATGATGCACCATGGCACCATTAGCAGCTGACGGGAGGATACCTTGTTCCTTCTGTTCTTATGAAGGAATTTAGTCAAGACTCAGAAAACTGTGAAAGTAAAGGCATAATTTACCATAATGTGTCATAATTGAGGTCTTTGTTTACTTAACTACAATTGCAAGCCATAGTAACTACTGCCTAAGAGCACCACAGCCCCAAAGTAGTGGGGCCAAGAAACCATGGACTGAAACCTCTGAAACCGTGAGCCTCAGTGAAATTTCCACCCTTGTAAAGTATTTATCTCAGGTATTTTGTCGCACTGGTGGAAACCTGACCAACATACCCTTCTCTTCATTGCTGCCAGAACTTTCTCTGGCCTGATGTGACCAGAGCAGCCTTGGGAATCCTAGTAAAGAAAAAACTGCAGTCACACCTCTGCCTCCTGTGCGGTCTGCCTCAGCCTCCAGGGCCCCAACCGCCTACCTTCCTCCTCACTGCTTCCTGACCTTCTGCCCTTCTCTGCTCTAAATTCCAGGCTCTTGTTTGCAGAATGCACAGGGCCCGTTTCCAGGCAGTGGCACTTGCCATCCCCCTCTCCCTTTTCCTGAGATGATAATTCTTAGAAAAACAGATCCTGATTCCTGGCTACCTGAATCTTTGATCAGACATCAGACCTCATACCATCAGACACAGAGACCAACCCTAGTGTCACCAGGTCCCCTCCCTGCGTGATTCCTCTGCAGATACCAAGCAACCCATGCTAGCTCCAATCAACAGATTCTTTCTTTTTATTCCTGTTCCTCCTGTCTCTAGATTGACAGCTTCTCAATGATAAAGATGACATTGCTCCAGGCAGTGAGGCCTCCCGACAGCCAGGAAAACACCAGCACATGGTAGGAGCTCAGTGTTTATTGATTACCCCTTTTTAGTCCTCATCACGGTCAGGAGAGTTTATATTTGTAATCCCATGGAAAAGTTACTGGAATTCCAATAAGTTAATACCAGTCTATCACTTCCAGGGCAACCCACGGCAACAATAAAGACATTAAGGCATATCTGTAGTTGTAGGAGAGCCAGGGGGCTCCTAAGTCCAGCTAGGGTGATGGCTAACTGGAACAAAGGCCATGACCCAAGTTTTAGTAATTCGTCAAGAGAGGAGTGGCTCAGGGAGGAGTGACTGTAGCTGAGGTGGGTGAGCTGGGCCAGGTAGGAGGCCTGAAATGGGCTCTGCAGTATGCAGAGAGAGCGAGGAGATATGCGTAACACAGTTGGAGGCAGTATCCAGGGTTTTGGGGTTGATGCCCTGCTGTGTAGCTTTTTATGCCCTGAGATGTCACAGCCTCTTCCTTGTGGCTCAGTCCCAGCCGACAGCGTGGAGCATGGCTCTTCTTCCTGCCTGACCCATGCATGCTTGTGGGAGCTACGGGGTGGGGTAACACTGATTGTCACCTTGCTTCAAGGACTACCCCTCAGCGGCTAGACTGATGTGCACTGCTTAAAGTCCGTCGAGAGGATAGGGAGAAGTCCAGCCAGCTCTGCACACATCATTATATGGAAATGGCAGGCTTAGCCAAAATGGAGATCATGGCTCTTTTGTTCTTTTCTTGTTTTCCAATCCACTTTATTTCAAAGGAAAAAAAAATAAAACCAAATTTCAAAGTATATCAATCAGGGGGCAACAATGATACATACATTGCACATTGTCATCCCCAAATCATTCACCCAGAGCACAAGACAGCTGCATTCATTGTCTGAACAACACCAGCACAAATCTTTCTCTTCAGCGAACTCACTAGTGTAACTATCTTAACTATCTTTTTTATATACATATATATACATACATATGTATAACATGGTTTCTTTCAGCTTCTCACACTTTTGAGACAACATGGTGTTTACACATGTGTGTCTGATTTATTTCATTTATGAGTATGGTCTCAAGTTGCATCCATTTACCTATAAAAATCTCTGATTACTATTCTTTCAAGGAGTCCTCCAGGTGGTCCTTCCCCAAATGTCAGTTATCAAAGTAGTTCATAAACAAGTGAGCCAGCATTCCTCCACCCAGATCCATATCCAAGGATTACACACCCAGGCACACACTTGTAACTGACACTGTAGACCAAGCCTGCATGGTGATCAGCTTTTGGGTGGTCAGGAAAGAGTGGAAAGGCATCTCCATGACAGGAACTGTACATGCAAAGACTCAGGTGTGGGGAGAGCCTGGCCAGTGCCTGTGGTGAGAACTTCATCGAACAGGGAGAGGAGGCCCTGGAGGAGAGTCCAGCAGGACACAAGGCATGCAAGGCTTGGTCCAGGAATGGTATCTACCTCTGTCTCTTTTCATGGTAAAGATTGTGAGAGAAGTGAACTCTGTCTACAAACACATCCTGGAGGATGCTGATGGGAGAGATGGGATGGCAGCGAGTGAGGTATAATCAGAGACCAGGGCAGATGAGAACCAGGAATGACCAGTCGGCATGGAGGAAGGGAATCAAGGTGAGTGAAGCTTAGCAGGAAGAAGGACCAACAGGATATTTATGGTAAGGGGAAGATGGAGACAGTGCCCTGTGGAGGACCACACCCTGCTCCTGGCTTAGAGATGGGGCCACTGAGCCATGAGCATCAGAAAAGAACTGGGCTCAAGATGACAATGGTCACTCACCTGGGAGAATAGTCCGTGATGCTGTGCATCTCTGCTTCAGGCCTGGATGCTTTCCTCCCTTGAGACTTCACTCTGAGAGGAGAGGCCGGGGCCTTTCAGTGTGGGCACTGGGGGTGCGGTTGGGAGCGCCCACCTCACCTGTGCCCTGTTAAGGAGCTGAAGGGGTGACTAAGAGAGAGAGAGGGGATCCCAGCTCCCAGACCTCCTTGATGGGACAGGCTCCCTGCCCAAAACAGGCCAGCATTGGGGAGACAACTGTCCCCTGCAAATTCTCACCACTACCTCTGCCCTGGCCTGGACCCAGGTCCCCTAGAACTCTTTACATCTCCCAGCACTGGGAATCTGGGGTTCAGCGGTGGGCATGTTGTTCTTACCACACGTCTTCTCCATCCCTGGGCAGTGCTCACCTGAGGAAGATGAGGCAGAGCCCGAGAAGCAGGATCTTGACAGCTATCTCTACAATGGTCACCAGCACCACGTCTGCCATGGGCGCTGATTTTCCTGAAGGAAAGTGGGTAAGCAAGATTTCCCTGGAAAATCACAATCTCAGTCTCATATTAGCACTTAATATGAACCTCCTAGACCTTCCTCATTCCTCTGTGTGGGGCCACATCAGCCCAGAGCTCCCCACCCCATATTCTGACTGTCTGGGCACAATCAGAAGTTCCTCAGCCCCAAGCCCAAGAGGTACATTTGGATCCTGTATCTGTCTTGAGGTGAGCACAGCACACTGTGCTGCCCCGCTGAGCCACAGGGACTGTTCACCCAGAGACCAGAGAGCTGCAGATCCCCCCAGCCTAGAGCCTGGAAGCTGCCCCTGCACACTCACCCTGCCAGGGCAGGCTCAGGGAGATGTGCCGGGAGCCCAGGGAGTTCTGTGCTCTGCAGGTAAGTTCTCCTTCACCCTTGAAGTGCTCTGGAGTCAGCTCCAGCACCCCAGGGTTCGCTGGCTCAGAAGGACACAGAATCAGGTTCCCCCAGGACCAGGTCAGCATGGCTGGGGGGTAGCTGTCAACCGCACAGAGCAGGCGCAGAGCTTGGCCCTCCAGGACCGGAAGAGACGAGCCGTTCTCCAGGGCTGTGGGAGCTGTAGAGAAGATGCAAAGTGTTAGAGTGATGAAGCCATTAAACAAAAGGCTAAAAAAGGAGACCAAGTGGTGGACTGAAAGAGGTGGATTCAGGCACAGAGACAAAGAGGGAGGAACGGGTGCCAGTGTGATCAGCAGAGCAGGGAGTGAGTGCGAGCCTGAGGCCTGGCTCACAACCTGAAGGCTCAGTCCCAGGCAGGATAGAGGGAGGATCTGGGACTTCACAGGAGGCCCAGCCAGGTCACCAGCTGCCTGCTGCATGCACTGAGGGGGGGGGGGCGGAGGGAGGGGAAAGCTCAGAAGCCAGATTCATGCAGGAGACTCCTGGCCTTCATCTAGCACGTCACACCCTGAGGAATGTATGGAGGTCAAGCTTCAAGGTCAAGTGATGATGAGGGGTGGAAGGGATTTCCAGAAGGAGGAATGGAGTGTTCGAGGACAGCCAAAGTCTGAGAACATCCAAGGAAGAGCAAAAGGATCGGCAGGGTTACATGGAGAAAACGTGTGCGAGGCCAGATGTGGGGTGGAACCGGAGGCCACAGGAGGGCAGGTGGGAAGCGCTCGTGTTTATAAACTTGGGTGGGCAAGTCAGCAGCCACAGATGAGGTTAGCAATGTGACTGCAAACAGAACGGGTCCCCGTTCATTTGCAAAAGTACTGAACACCAAGAAAAAAGGCAAGCAGCGAAGTGTCAAATTCATGACAATTTCTTTAGCTTGGAAAGAGCTTTGTAGGACAAAGATAATAAAAAATGAAATCACTCTGAAAATCTGAGCAAGGAATATAAAAGGTAGTTCCAGAAACAAAAGAGATACGATTGGCCATTGCCGATAAAAAGAAGCCTATAGAAAGAAGAGAGTAGAGAATAGGGGTGCTGGGGACACCAACATGGGGAGACCAGCTTTCCCTCCCTCTCAAGATGAGAGAAACAAAATCAGCTACCTTGCTTGTGAGGAATCTATTCACACACACACACACACACACACACACACACACACACACACACACGCTTCTGAAAGCAGGTCTAGTGATTCCTTTCGGCATTTCTGTTGCACAGTGAAGTCAGCCCCAGGACTGTCCACTGGTGGGAGAAGCCCAGGGAAGCAGTTTCATCTGGGCAGTGGGCACCACAGCCACCGAGAACCAGGGCCACGTTGCTGATGACACCTCGTGAGCTCCCTGACCCTCGCGGCGGGGGGACACGGGACAGCCTGTGCTCAGCACAGCCCGCCTGCATCCCGGGAAGGAGGTCCAGGCCCTGGCGGGGCTGAAGAGGCCCCGTGCCACCCACCCCAGCTGCAGGGAGGCCCGTACCTGAGCTGGCTCCCCGGGCCACGATGGTTACAGTCAGGTTCTGTGGGGGGTCTGGGGCAAGGAGACACAGCAGGGCGGTCAGCGGTGAGGCTGAGGGCTGCATCGTCCCTGTCCCCAGGAGCTGCAGAGGTGGGGAGGGCTGGAGGCCGCACCCTCCTGATCCTGCCCCACCCGCACCCCAGGACTCAGCCCCCAGTCCCGACCCAGCGGCTCTTCAGCCCCCAGGGATCCCCCCTCCCGCGGCTGCCCCGCCGTCTCCGCCCCGCTCTCACAGGACACGCTGAGGTGCACCGTCGTCCTCCTGGTCACACTGACCCCGGGCAGAGTCACCTGACAGGTGAGGTTGGTGCGGTGGTCCTGGGGCCTGGGCGTGAGGGTGAGCGCTGGGGAGCTGGTGACTGTGGGGTGCAGGTGGGACACAGAGGTCCCCACCCAGAAGAACATGGGGGGTGTCCCCTGCTCACAGGCCCAGGACGCAGAGCAGGTCAGGTTGCTGGGGCGGCCGGACACCAGGGTCCCCGGGATGAGGATGTCCGGGCGGTGGGTCAGGGCTGGCGAGTAGAGGGGACAGAGGGTTTGAGGACCAGGTTCTGAGGCGTGGCCTTGAGGCAGCTTGGGTCCTGCCTGAGCTCCTCCCGCAGCCCCGATGCTCAGCCCCTGGTCCCCAGGGCTGGTCCATCCCAGCTCCACCACAGCCTTGTGACTTCCCCTCCGGCTGCTGCCCGAGCCGGCCTTACCCGTCACCCGCACAGACATTAGGTAATCTGTATAACTATAGCGTGTGTTTCCTTTCTCCAGCCGAAAGTAAAACGACCCCTCGTCTCTCTTCTTGGCATATCTGATGTCCAGGGAGCAATTGTTGTCCTCGGGGTCCCCAGTGAGGAGGAATCGACCCCTGGTTTCCTCCCACACCTGTCGATTTGGTTCATTCGTGGCCACTGGAAAAGCCCAGCGTCCTAACCCGTCCAGGTACTGGTACCAGTAGCCGTAAACCGGGCCCAATCCAGTCCCATCTTCAGATCGGTATGTAAACTTGCAGGGCACATGGACACACAGGCCCTTCTGTACCGTCACCGACCTATTCACGTCCAGGTAGTAACCCTGTAGGCTCGCCCCTTCCTGCGCCCAGAGCAGCAGCAGCAGCGCCTGCAGAGGCAGCAGCAGCAGCAAGTCCGGATGGAGCTGCATCCCGCCCTGGGAGTCGGCTCCTGGGATCTCTGCTCTGAGGAACCCAGAGCCGGGAGCCTCACAGGAGGCCCCACAGGAAGAGCGGCGCCTCCTCGGGGGTGGAGCTGCAGGCGGGAGAGACTCCCCAGCTTATCCCCACTTAGGGACCAGCCCGTCTTCTCCCTCCCTGCTGACTTCCCTCCCCTTTTCTCTGCAGTGTGAAAATGGGTTCCTGCTGAGCAGACCTGGAGCCCCCGAGGCTGTCAGCATTTGTGCAGCCTGGGGTGGGACCTAGGAACACGATGGACTGAGAGGCTGGGTCGGTCCTGTGAGCAGGAGGCCTCTCCTGCCCTGCTGGGCACACCGAGGTGGACACACTTTCCTCGCACAGTGAGGTCAGCACTGGTACACCCTGCGTGTTGACGTCTAGCGGTTTCCTACACCCACCATGCAGTGTCTTTCTCCAGTGTGCATAATGAGGTGGAACCTTTAGGTAAGGCTTTCTCACAGTCACCACAATCATAAAGTTTCTCTCCTGTGTGGCTTTGCTGATATATACTGAGTTGTGACTTGTGAAGGATTTCCACAATTATGTCACCGTTTGGATTTCCCGTAATTATGACACTGTAAGCTTTCTCTCTGGTAGAGCAACTTCAGTATACACTCAAGTGTGCCTTCTGGACAAGACCCACCCAAATGCAACACACATAATAGCACTTATTCCTTGAATGGATTCTGTGGTGCAAACCAAACATTGATTTCTTCCTCTTGTTCCTCCCCTCCTCCTCCTCCTCCTCCTTTTTGAGACAAGAGTCTTGCTATATAGTGTAGGCTGGCCTTGAACTCATGGAGATCTGCTGGCTTCAGCCTGCCCAGTGCTAGGAATTGTAGGCAGGTACCACCACACCCAGCTAAACACTGACTACTCTCTCACACACATTGCAAACGTACTGTCTCTCCTCAGTCTGATGTACATGAGGGTAGAGCACTGGGAAAAGCTTTTGTAACATTCACTGTGTTGGTACGGTTTTCTCTAGTATGTGTTCTGATGCCTGAAGAGAGATGACATCAGGAAAACAGTTTTTCCACATTCATGGCATTCACTGGGATTTTGTATTTTGTGAAATTTTTTGGAGGGTAATCAATTCTGAATGAAGACCTACATTCCTCACATCTATAGGGTGCATTACCTGTGTGACCTATCAGATGCATGCACACTTTTGGTGTGGAATGAAGGTATTTCCACATATGCTGTATTTGTGGAGGATTTTCACACTATGAATTTCTATCCTTTTCTCCTTTTTCCTCTCCTCCCTTCACTTCCCCTGCTCATCCTCTCTCTCCTTTCCTCTTGCACACAAAACCATGTGTTATGCAGCTAGAATTTTTAAAAAGTAAACAAAAAACCTAGCAGAATTCAGAGACATGTCTTTTAAAGAGAATTTCATATTACAAAGGTGACAATTGCTTCTATTTTAAAGTATTACATCAAACCATAGAAAGCCATTATTTTAGCCAGATGTGGTGGTGCACGCTTGCTTGTCCTCTCAGAACTCAGGAGGCTGAGGCAGGAGGACTGCTGTGAATTTAAGCCTGAGCTATCCTGTGAGCTCAAGGGCAGCCTGAATTACATAGCAAGACCATGTCTCAAAAAACAAAACAAAAAGTCATCATTTTTTAGGCAAAAATGACTGAAGATGACTGGTTTACTCTTCTGAGCTCTATGTGGCAGTGTCTACACTGTGACCTCTACCTTGCACCCTTCAAAAATGCATATGGGGCAAATGTTGGGTGATGGCAAGATCACTGTCTTTCTGGGGCTTCCTGGTTCCCTTGTGGGGTCTCCTGGTTCAGGCCTTATCATTGAAGCTGCAGGACTTCCCTTCCCAGTGCAGCCTGCCCCTCCTCAGCAGCTCTGGCTGGAGCCTCTATGCTCACTCAGGTTCTAGCTCCTGAGGACCCACCAGTGAGAGAGGAGCCTGCAGGTACAATTCTACCCCAGAGGTTCCAGCTTGTGGGTCCAGAGGCACAGGTTGGACTATGTGAGGTAGGCAGGGGGTGCCGCAGGTTTGCTTTCTAGAACTTGAAGGTGGACTTGGACTCAGGAGAGAGCAGATCCTGGACTCGCTGTTCCTCAGCTGTTCCACATCCTGTCACTAGCGTGGACCAGTGGGACGTCACCCCACACCTCCCAGTGTTTTAATGATGTGCTCATTTTGCTGCCTCTTGGGCTCCTGGATTTCGGGTTACCCCTCTTTCCCACGCTCCTACCCCGGCTCTCTTGCCCATCCCAAGTGCACTTTTCATGCCCGTCCCACTAAGAAGCGGGTCTGCTTCTGGTCACATTCATCTTCCTTGCTATTTCCATGACTGGTCCCACGGCCCAAATATGCTGTAACAAATTCCTCCACTGCGCAATCTTGTTTCCCCCTGGGGTGGGTAACTGCATGGGTTAGCTATTCGTTGGGTTGTCAGCTTTCCTCCAGACGTGTGGACATCCTCCTCATGGACTGACTGACTTATTAGCTAACAGCCACAATGGCAGTGATTGCGAACACTCACTGTGAGGATCCTGTATCCTGTTCTGGGCATCCTGCCCAGTTCTAACCCTGACAACAGATCCCTTTTACAGAAGAGAAGCCTGAGGCACAGCATGCAATGACTGGCTCAGTATCATAGGTCGGCAGGCAGGAAGGCTGGTGGTGAAGCAGGCAGGCAGTTAGGTGGGAGGCTGGCTGTCAACTTCTGACACTTTTCTGGCTTGATGGACTGCAGCCCTGCTACTTTCTTGGCGCTTGACACTCAGGCTTGTCTTGCTGGCTCTCTTCACCATGACCTAGGAATTTCTTTTTCTCTTATGTGTTTGATCCCCTCAGTCCTGAATTCTTTGGTTTTCTCTTCCAGTTAAAGGGTTACTCTCAGTTTATGGACATATAGCCTGTGGGAATTCCTTGGAGATGGGTTAATGCAGGTAAAGCTGCAGGAGACCCAGTCCAGAAAATATCGTATATTTACATAGACACAGATTCTGTAAGCTATCAAAGCCACTGGTGTTCATGGCTCAGTGTGCTGTCAGGTGAGGCCAGGCTGGAGGAGGAGTGTCCGTGAGTGTGAGCCTTCGCAGGGCTCATCTTTCAAGGGCTTTCCTCCTGGCTGCCATGAAGTGAGCAGCTTCGCTCCGTCTCACCCTTCTGCCGTGATGTCCCTGCATTGCAGCTGCCTCTGAAATGAGAAGGTGAAGTCTTCTCAACTTAGCGTAACAGTGCGCAGGCTTCAGTAACTCCGGACAGAGCTCGGGGTCCTAAGTCATCCGAGCAATGCTTGTTTACTTCCTCCACCAGCGGTGTGCCAACCACCCCGACAATACCAAGTGTGGACGAGAGGATTGAGCAAGCAGAGAAAAGTTCTTGTGCTTCTGGGAGGGTGTAAAATAGTACTTACTATGGAAAATTATTTGCAATTTTCTGCCAAATGTGAAAATTCACTTCACAACCCAGCAGTCCCACCCCTAGACACAATCCCAGCCTCTATTCACTAGTGGATCTGCATGGGTTTTTATTGTACTGATGGCGGCCAATCTGATAATTGAAAACATATTTCATTAGGAATTTAATTTGTATTTCTATTATGGCTGATGAAGGACATGGATAATCTTGTGTCTGAGACAACCTTATAGAGTAATCTGGTCTTTATTCTTTTAATCTTGCTATTATGTTTTTGGTACTTGTGAGCATCTTTGTTTCTCATTTTTCGTTTTTATCCAAATATACATTTTTCACTTACGTTTTTGTGTTGTTTTTCTATGCGTTTTTATTTATATAGTTCTTATTAATGTTTTCTGGGTTTTGGGTCATCATATGTCAAACCTTCCCATTAGATTTTTTTGTGGTTCTTTAGCGGTTCTACATTTTACATGTGTCATTTCTCTGGAGTTTACTTTCATGTTGAGCATCAGGCAGGGATCCAGCTTCATTCTTCCCAGTTGTGCACCCAGTTACCTTTTATTAGTGATGGTGAACCTTTAGAGACTGAGTACCAAAGCCCACTTGTTTCTCACAAACTGCCAACACTGCAATTAAACCCGAACACTGAGGTTTTTGAGAAAACCACTCATAAAATACTTGGCATGCATGTCAACAGAGGGCTCTGCACAGAATTGCCATCCTTGACAGTTATGGAGAACAGTTTTCCCCAGTGTCCACAACACCACCTTTCCTTGATTCCAATAAGGAACTTTGGTTCTATTTCCATTCTGGTCTATTTATATGTCCATTAATAGCCTTCATAATTTTAATTATGATAAAATGTGCTGTAATAGTTATGGAACTAATCATTAAATTAAATGACTCCACTTTTTCAGAAATTTTTATTTTCATACAATTGTGTCACAAAGTTACAGAGATTTTCTTAATGTTATAATTTTGATGGCATATAACATATCAGATGTAACAATATACTACTATTTTTATCTACAAACTGGTGGTTTCATTGCCCCTTTTATAATGTTAAATTATCCTATATAGAGTAGCATACACACACATACACACACACACACATATTTGCAAGATTTTTGGCTTTTAAAAAATTTTAGCATCAGAGTTCTTTAATACATCTGCATGTACTGTAAAGAACAAAAACATCACAATGATGTGTTATCAATATCTAGTTATACAATCAATAACTGATTTATCACACTAAGATCCAATCACTGTTCACAATATTCTACTAATCTGACAAGTATGCCAAGTCATTTCTTGTTGGGAGCCGTTGAAGCTGGAGATGGATCACGTGTGTGGCTAAAGCAAGGTCAGCCCTGAAAACACAGAGCCCAAAGCAAGTGATGTAAACAAGCTGTTCCAGCTCTATTGCCTGCAAGGGTCCAGGTCAGCCAGGCAGACAAGTTGCTAGGCAGTGGGGTTGAAGTTGACATCCTCCTTCTGAGTATATAAATAAGTGTGCTACAGTGAGTGGTTAAGCAGTTCCTTTCCTCCCATCAGGAGAGAGGGCTCCACCTGACCTCCGCTTTCCTCTCTTTAATTTTCTAACTCTCACCATCCTTTCCCCTAGAAACATCTAGAGCTGTGGTTGGTCACTACAATTTCTAGGTTACCAATGTTTCTCTTCTAAATCCTTCCGCATGCTGGCCACATACCACATGTAACTACTGACCAGCTGAAACTGCCACTTCAGTTCTAGATGTGCTCAGAGTGTAAACTATATACTGGCTTTTGAAAGCTTAGTATGTAAAATACTGATTGAGATTTTAAACTCCGGTTACATCTTTTTTATTCCATCGGATTTTATTGGTACATTTTAGATATACATAATGTTCATATCCATCGGAGAGAATTTATCCATGTACATGATACAACTTGCTTTTCCCCCATGCCCCTACCCTTGCTTCAAAGTCTCCTTCCCTCCCTCTTTGCAAAGGGTCTGTCTTCATGTTTTCCTTTTTTTTTTTAAGCTTTCCCTTTCTTTTCATTTTTCCTCCTCTTCTTTGTTCTCCTCCCAATTTTAGTATTTTCTTCCTATTTCACAATACCTATTATACATTTTGATCCTTATTTACACTTTTTTGGGTTTCTCATACCCAGGAGGCAAAATGGGATATTTATGTGGGCAGTGATTTATTTCACCTAAAGAGGCTGGACTCAAGGTGCATCAATTTTCCTACAAATGTTTCATGTTTATCCTCCTTTATGTCAGAGTAGTACTCCATGTTGTAAAAACCCTCCACATCCTCTTTATCCATTGATCAGTTGATGGGCACTTTGTTTCCCTGGTTATATCTTGAAATAATAACTTGGATATATGAGAGAAGTAAACATACTATTACTTTGATTTTATGTTTCATTTTACTATGACTACTAGAAAATTAGAAATTCCTTTGTGGCTTGTGCTGGGGTCCAATTACATGTCTGTGTTCTACTCTTGATCACATTCAATTGATAACCTACCTCTCTACAGATAATCAGTACCTATGACTTGTTTATATTTTTGGACTTGTTTTTATTTTTGAGGCTCCCAATAATACACACAGGAAATTAGTAAATTGTGGTCGCTAGACAAAACTAGCCTACTTTGTGTGTGTGTCTTTTTTGAGAAAAGGGTCTCATTATGCAGTTCAGGCTGGCTTTGAACTCCTATATAGTTCAAACTGGCCTCCAACTCATGGTGATTCTTCTGTCTCAGCCTCTTCAGTGCTGGAATTACCGGTGTGTACCACCACACTAGACTCTTAACATTTTTTTGTACTGGAATCGCAGGCTCTAACTTTTTAAAAATAGTTTAAACACAACTGTGTTTAATCAGATATATTTTGTCAGGGCAGCTTTCATGCCTCACTGGCAGAACTGACTAGTTTCCTCTCTCTCTGACCATCACCAGGAGTTACCCTGTGGGCCTCAGCTTCAGCCAGGTGTTCACTCCCTGACCATCTCTAATCACCGTTTCAGAGCACATGTGTGTGCAAGGTGAAATCCTGCCCATCCTTCACAAGGCATCACAACTGTTCCCTGTGCCACGTCCCTCGCCCTCCTCTCTGTCAGGGAGTGCTCTTACAAGCCCTTCAGTCTCCTGCACTCTGTCTGAGCTCTCCTGGTGCCCGGTGTCTTTTGTGTCACATTGCTAGTCAGCAGAATTGGACGCTGTGTCCAGGTCTCTGCTCACCAGCTTAGGAGTCCTGCGAGGGCCGATCTCATGTGTGGCGCATCTCTGGGTCTCCAGCACCCTCCGCCCAAGGGCTTAGCATTTACTTATTCTACATTTACCAAGCACCTACTTTGTGCAGAGTACTGAGATAAACAAAATCATCAAAAGCTTCTGCCCCATGACACACTTTCTGGTAGGGAAGACTGACAAGAAAACAGATAATTTCAGACAGTGATAAAAATACATAAATAAAAAGAACCATGGAGAGGCAAGTAGTAATAGACTATTTTTGTGCCCGAGGAGGTAACCGGTAAATCTGACAGCGGGAAGACAAGAAGGTAATTATAGAAAATGCTTCTGGCAGAGGATTCCCAGCAAGTTTAAAGGTCCTGATGTGGGAAGGCAAGAACTGCGAGAAGAGCAGTAGAAGACATAGGAGTGGAGACCAGGGTTAAATCACAAATGCTCTTCTAGGTGAGGCTGAGAGAGGGGAGCCGTGATATGCTCTGACTTACATAGTGAACACTGCCCTAGAGGAGTTTTCTCATCCTGCAGGGATTATGTCCCCCAAGGTGCATCTAGAAATATCTAAAGATGTTTTTGACTGTCATAACTTGGGGCAGTGATTGCTGCTGGCATCTGGTGAATAGAAACTAGGGATACTGTGAACCATTTTACAGAGTGCAAGACAGTGTCTACTCCCATCCCACAAAAGCACATCAGGAGGAGAAGAGAAGCTGCTCTATATGCAATGTTACGTTTCTACCAGTGCTGTGTTTCTGGGAGAAAACAATGTCCTTGTCTCCCTGTGTCATCCTCTCCCTTCTTTCACCAGCCCTTCCTCTTCCTTTCCTTTCCTTCCTATGCACCCCCAGCTACCTCCCAGTTGTGTCAGCGTTGCTAAGGACCAGGAAAGGTTAAGAATTCCTGCTTTTGCAGTGACACTGAGCAAAATGACGTACTTGCCAACCCTGAAAACTTTCCTATGCTGTCAAGTATGAATCCTGGGATAGTCTCCTGGGCTTCTGTGGCTCCTAACTGTTATCTTCTTTAAATTTACAGTTGGAGGGAAGGATACTACATTTGTAATGGATACTGGCAATCTTAGGATTGATGACAGCGAATGGGATGGAGTCTGCTCTCCAGACTCATTCCTGGGATGGCTCTGAGCTGGAGGCCAGTGGAAGTCATGAACATATCTGTAGGATATTTGCTGCTCCACACTGGCTCCAATTATCATCCTAAAATCAAAGCTAAAGGACATGAATAGAAGCTTGTCCAAAGGGCCTGAAAAGCTGCAGTGGTTTAAGTCAGCAAGCATCTTCAGATAAATTAGAAATGCTTCATTATAGAATCAAGTTAAAGAATCAAATCTTAAAAGTGAGGCAGGCATAGAAAACTCTTAAAGGTTTTGGAGCACTGAAGGAACAAGAATCTATTTTTAGTTGTGCGTTCTCTGTTATGAGACAGGCATTAAGAAGAACTACTTGCTGGAATTATTCCAGCTTTCCAGTTGAAAGGCACTTTACAAAGATCACTGCTCCATGCCCTCAGGCTTCTGAATAAAACTCACAGATTTGGCCAGCCCTGGATTAAGCAAAACGAGGAAAAACTGAACCCACCAATAAGGTGGAAATGTATCCCATTCACATAATCAATTGTCAAGAATCTCAGCTAGATTGGGTGCTGGCCTTTGGAAGATCAAGACCAGCCTGTGAAATATCTTGATAGAGTTGGCTCAGCAGCAATTCACGGACATGTGTCTAGGCTCAAAATAAGGCTCATAGTTCCAGCTGTGAATGCTTGTGAGTGAAGACATTGCATGAATCCTGCCATGCTGATGGACGTCCAGCTGCTCTGTTAATAGCAAGTGCTAGCAAAGCATTAATGGTGACTCTGTTTCTTTTCTGGGCAGCGGCGCCGGGGAACTTGGGAAGAATGATATGTCTTAGATGGCATGAGTGCTCTCATGGTCTTAGAGCATGACACTTACTGCAGAAGTCAGAACAGCTGGTGGTTTTTGTGGAGCTACCAACAGACCAAGCTGATATCACACACTGCTCAGTATGAGGACATCCCGAATCCCACTTCCAGACCTTCCTTTTCCTCCTAGAACCAGAAAGGCTGCTGCC